TATTTTTCAAACTGAATCTAAATAAGAATACATTTTCAAATATTCCATATGAAATTAAAATATAAAATTTAAAGAATAATTTGTCTGAATACATTATTATAGCAGATATGCAAAATTAAAAAATCAAATTTTTTTTAATAAGCATCTGAATACAAACAATATCTGTTTATAAATAAAAAATTAAAAATCAATTGGAAATATATATGTAAATCAAAATTATTTTTTCATATTATTCTGCATATTTATATAAATAAAAATCATTCTTCTGTGAAGAAGTTATGTCGAAGCGAGAACGAGAGATCCACCGTCCTATTTCGCGGCGGAGGAACGGGAAGAGAATAGTCCTTCTCATTTTTCGGAATAATAAACAACAACACTGTGTTGAAGTTATCGCGTCGGCTCGTGAAAGCGGTTCCCATTGGGAGTCTTATGATGCTCCACCCTCAGCAAAGGCTGCGGGACCGTCGGATGGGAATCTGTGTCGACCGGATGGCGGTCCGTGGAGATAGCAACGCTAGTATGCTCTCGGCATCGCCAAAGCATAATTCGAAATTTTGCACTATGTGACATTCCTCCCTCCTCTTTCTTCCGCACTAAAGACATGCCTAAGCGAAATAGGCGTCGCGAGAGGAATAATGGAAATGTTCGCTAAAGGTTCCCAATGCTTCCCAGGCGCCAAAGAAGATCTCTCCTGTGAGCGTTTTGGTCAACAAAAGTCTGGCCGGAATGTTTACGAGAATTTCTTCTTCCATAAAAAAAAGTATGTAGATGTTAAAGTTGAAGAGTGGTGAATGACTTTGAATATTGCACAAATGGAATGCTTAAAATGATGTTACTATTCGAAAGACCATCTACTATTGTAAAATTGTATATTTGTTTATATTATGAGCTTGTATAGTGATGAACGAATGGCGATACTTTGACTTTTTGCGACTAACTGTGATGATTCTAACTGTATTTTGATATACATTGTATTGTCGTCGAATTCCATCTGTTTTCGTTTCTATTTCTATATCAACTCTATCGTAAGACTGTCGTGACCCTTGATTTTTCCTTCAATCCTTGCCTTTTGGGAAAATATATAAAGAGAGGGGGTTGGAGGAACCAATGGTCGAATTGGAGGGCGGCTTCGAAGAGTGGGTCCTTGTGGGATCGTGTCGCAGCGCGTGGGGATCAGAATCTTTGCGATCGCTATCACATGGAATGCAAATGTGACTTATGAAATCACATTTCATTGCTATGATATCTTTGTTTAAATTAGAAATCTGGAAAATGTTAAGGAAACCATGCCCGTTCATAAATTATTGTCAGGTTATTAAAAGTACTTGAACAATTGAAAACACAATCCAGGTTACCTAATCGCTTCACAAGTCCTGTGCTTAAATAGTCAAATAGTAAAAGAAGAAAATATTCAAAATTATTGTAATCTATATAAAAATTGGAAATATAGTTCTAAATTATATGATATTTTAGATAAATGAATTTTGAACTAATTCAATTATTCGAGTATTCAGTTTAAATAAATGAATATTATATTATATTTATTATATTAGATCATATTTATTATGTCATAAATCTGACTTTATAATATATAACTCAATAAATCAATAAAATATTATATTATCAATATATTATATATTATACTATACGATTATAACACAAAAATTTATTTATTATAAATAAATTAAATTAATTGATAAGAGAAATATTCCATGTTGATAGGACAGACAAACAATAAATAAATGCACTGATTTGGCTGAATGAACACATGTTTAATAAAACGTAATTGAGTCTGTTTGTTACAATAAATGAAAAATATAAATGTGAAAGAAAACTAATAGACTAAAACTAATACTTAGACATGAAATAGTATCATTGGCAACATTCAATAATTCAATCAACATTCTTTTTCGATCAAAAAAGAAATATTTCGAGACTATATTCTAAATAAAATTAGAAATTGTGAGAAAGGAAAAATGCTACTTGAGGTTCGCGTCTATTAAATCTATTGAATCATCTGAGAATCTTCGATTATGAATGTTCATTTCGAATACCTAGAAGAAAGAAGGACTTTAAAAAATTTAGTGTAATGATAAGAAATTTAATGTAATGAAGAAATGTATCTTTATTGATTACGAAGAAATCTGAAGAAATTATTGGATTTGATTATCAATAGAAATAAGTAGCGTAGAAGCAAGCGATATAGAGTCTCGTAAAATTTTGATTTAAAAAATTCTGATAGAATTGAATTATGAAAAAGTAGAAAAATACTTGCTATAGTGTAATAGTGTAGTAGTAATTTCTACTCAAAAATAGAAGAATACAATTGTTTGAAAAATAATAAAGACAGTATATTGAGAAGAAACATTTTAGGATACAAGTTGAAATAAAATTGAAATTTCAATGATATATGAATATTGAATGTTTGAATATAAACTTTTATATGAAAAATATATGTTCTAGACTTTTTCTAAAAGAAAAGCTAGATTAAAGTAATGAATGAGAAGATAAAGAATATTTTCTAAAAATAAAATTTGGAAGCTAATCGAATCTGAAGAAAAGATATCTACGATCGTTAATTGCAAAATAATCTATAGTATGAAGCTAAAGTCCGAGAAATTTAAGGCTCAGTTTGTTCGAATTTGAATGAACTGAAGATTAGCCAGTTTTGATTATAAAACAGCTTTTCTGAAATCTTAGAATGAAATCTTAGAGAACGTTATATATTTTAACCTGAATAATGAATTTGGATACATGTACGGACTTAGATATCTATATGAATTTAAATAAATGGAATCAGAAATTAAAGAATTATAGAATGTTTAAAATCTATAGAATTTAAATGTAGTGTTTATAATCTCTGCGTATTCATTAAGTGGTACAACGATGATATGATTGCTGTCGATGATGAATTGATTCTTGACATAAGATTCAAAGACAAAATAAATTATTAGAGCGTTATAGCGTTAATTTGAAATTATTATTTGTAATGAAATCATTCATTTTCTGAGTTTTTGGATAGATCGTTTAAAAAATGGAAAAATAAAAATCGAGTAGTCTATGATTATCAGAATTTTGAAAATTTTTGAAGTGAAAAATTATTACTCTACAAGGATTAGGATATCCTACAAGGATAGTGGACAAAATATCTATATAAATGTTGAATACTGAGATTAACGTAGATAATGAAATATTCACATATTTAATTATTATAATGGCAAAATCTAATTTCGCGTTTGAAAAATCATTTTGGCTTTCAAAATCGATAATTGATTTTGGAAATTCATAACAAGATATTTAAAAGAAACTATGAGTTAGTATGAAAGTAACAACGGTTTGTAAAGAAAATATCTAAACACAGCGACATCGATCACATATGAATATTTCAGATGATCATGTATAGGAAATATATTAATGTCGATTTAATAACAAAACCATAATGATAGATATGTAGTGGTATCAATAGCTATCAAAGAACTCCGTTTCTTAGAGAATTTTAACTCA